CGTTGGGGAAAGGTGCGCCCCCGCCTCGCCTGGCCCTGCTGCTTGGACGCAGACAGCTTGTCGTTGGTGTCTGTTGGTGTCCATATTGTGTCCGCCTGTGCATGATATGCTCAAGTGTCCCCCAGTTCCCATCGCTGGCACCCCCAAATTACCCGCCGACCGTGTACTTGTACTGGGGAACGGGCTGTCTTGTGTTTTGCGCCATGGCGCGGGCAAAAACTTTCCGTGTTTGCACACACTCTGGAGGTACCTGAGCGCTGGCGCTCTGCGGCGGGCGGCGCGAAGAATGCGGAGGAGAAGGTGGTGGGGCATCTCGGGGAATGAGTTGGGCCCCTGGCGCGGGGGAGAGGGGGCCGCCTCTCGCCGGCCTCCATAACCTTTTTTCTGTGTGTCTTTCTCTCTTTTTTCCCTTTGCGCTAAGCGTTTCCTCACTTCTCATTCGTTCGCCAAACCCTCCCGCCTTTACGGTTGAAAAACCAGACACTCAGGTATCTGGGGCGTCGGGGGCGACACACATTAAGTTCGATATTCTGCACACACTCAGCTCACCCGGGGTGGGGGGGGGGGGGGGGGGGGGGGAGGGGGAAGAAAAGCAACCAACCAACAAACAACAACCAAAACCCCCACTTAATCTGACAGAGGCAGGTCTGGATCCAAACCTACACGGGGCTGGTTCCAAGAGGGTGGGCGTGGCTGTGTTTAAAAAATATGAAATGATTTTTTTTTTCCTAGGGAAGAGTCCGAGGTAAGCCAATCATTTACGCTTTTACAAAGCACAGTAGGAGGGGCTTGGTTTAAAAAGAGTATTAGGCGTTGGGAGTGAAATGTTGTCTTGTCTCTGAAATGCAATTAAAATAAAAAAAAATTGTTTTTAAATGCTTCGACTGTATTTTAAGCATGTGGACGAAGTGTGGTAAAAACTGTGAATATGACTTGTGAAATATGTAAATGTGAATCTTTCCAAGCAGCTTTAGCTGGGGGCAAAGAGGATCAAAGGTAACATCCTCTGCCAATGGACTTGGGATACCAAGAAATGTAAAAAGGTCTTGTGTTCTTTAAGCACATCGGGTATGTCCCGCCACCCTCCGCCTTCCTCTCCTCCTCTTCATCTTTGCCACCTCTCCGCGCCCCCTCCCCTCTCTAGGGCCCTCCCCCCCACCTCCCTCCCTCCCTCCCTTGCCCTCCCCCCTTCCCTCCCCTCCCCTCCTCTCCTTCCCCTCTTCCAGCCTCACCTCAGCTCCCATCTGAGACATGGGCTTCTCGTGTCACACCGGTCATTAGAGCAGTCGTTAGCAGTGGTCTGCATGTGTGGCTTGAATGAAAATTTCCCAAGTGAAGCGCACAGTCTGAATTTCTTTATTGTGTTCTCTAAGACCTTTCAAGGGATTTGAAGATCACAATCTCTAAAGCCGTGCTCCATTTGTTTGTTACCTATCATATAACGTGTGATGGTTTTTTAGTAATGACATCAGGCACGTGACTGTTTGCTTTTGTGACGCGTGTGCCTTTCACACATCACAGTTTTAAATGCAGTGGTCATTAGCTGTGCCCACCCAGGGATATCACGACATCATCATTTTCCCAAACACCAATAGAAGGGAAGCAGCTTTAAACGTGGGATGTCCCAACTCCGCTGAAGCCACACACAGAGCCCTTAAATGACAAGGCTCTGTGTTTCTGCGGACGACTGGTTTTGCCATCACAGTCTCATTGCAGTATTCCAAGCATAGCCCCGAGAAGCTGGCCTCTGGTGAGGAGGGGACACAAGGGGGTACAGACGGGAAGCCAGGTGACCGTGTCCACCTGACCCTTAGTTGGCGCGTCCCTGACACGCTGGGGCCTCAGTTGCCTTGTTTGTGCAGTGAAGCTTTCCCAGCAGACCTCCATGTGTGCAGACCCCTATTCTGGGGGCGGGGTGGGGGGTGGGGGTGTCAGCACAGTCCCCTCAAACCAGGACTGTTGGCTTCAACCACAGATCATGCAAATGCCAGTCCTGCCGCAAACCGTCCATGTCTGGGGCCAGGTCTTAAGAATATTAGAAGCTTAATTTGCTCACCCTTGTTTTGTATCCAGGGTGAAAAATTCACCTTAACGAAAAGAAATTTGCCGGGGTCATCCTACGATTGCCCTGACTCTGCTCTCAGGGTGCCACGGGTCCAGAAGCCCTGACCTCAGGCTACATCAGACATGAGCCTGAACTAGGCAGCCAGTGTCACCTGCTGCAGTAAATGCCATTTGTCCAACCAGGCTCATTTCCCGCCAGGCTTCATTCCGCCAAAGTGATGAGAGAGGTCCCCCATCTGGGTGAGGAGGAGGGTGGGGGAGGAAGGATGAGGACTTCCTTACCTTTAGGACAAGAGTTCTCACTAACAGTCAAATCCTAGCATCCTAACCTAAAACAAGACATCCATATAGTCCTGCCACTGAAAATGCAGGTCAAAAGACCATCCTTTGATATGGGTCCTGATTTGTGACGTGCTTAACAATTTGTGTGTGTGTGTGTGTGTGTGTGTGTGTGTGTGTGTGTGTGTGTGTATAGATACCATTTCCATTTTTCCTGCCCAAACACTTTAACCACATTACAGGGAACTTTTTAGAGGAGATAGGTAGGTAGGTAGATCATCAATAACATGACTAGAATTCTAGAATATGTAAGAGAGGAAGCTTTTTTCTTATCTAACAGTATTCAGTAATAGATTATTGCCACGTTTTTGGAAACCCAACTTGGGTATGAATCCCCCATTTTTTAAGAATTGAGGGGCTTGTAGATGAGAATTTTGTAGTATCTGCTACGTTTATTAAAAGTGTTTGGGTAAATGCTGTATATAATAATGGCCATCCTGCCATGACACTTTATTTATACGGTGAATCTCAATTAATTGTATGATAATTTATGGCACCAGGTGCAACAAGGCTACATGGCGTCCCATCATGCAGGAGCACCTCCCCCCCACCCCACCCCCGCCCCCAGCACAGCCATTTTTCCGGATTCGGAATGCCTCCACCGAACTCTTTGCTGCAGTGGGAAGGACATAGCTTATCAGGCCACCAAATCTGTAGAATTGAGAGAGACTTTTACGATTTTCTCTGTCTCCCACTAGTATTTCATGCTTCTCAGAGGCCAAAATTCTTCCTTGCCTTTCAAAATCCAATTTCCCATAAAATTTTTTGAAAAAAAAAAAAAAAATAGTTTTCTATACAGGTAGGTTCCTCTTTATAATTTGCCCACATCATGTGTATCGTGGGAACCTGGAATCAGGCAAAGAAAAGTAGGGTTCCTGGGCCTTTTGCATACCCCCTCCTGACTTGAAACGATAGCCTCCCTGCCTTCAGGTATTAGTAAGCAGCAACAGTAATGATCACATAGCCATGATACCACCTTCTTTCTGTATTTTTAAAAACCTTTCATCTAAGTCACATTTGCCCTTTGAAACAGCCTTGGGCAATAAAAATGTGATAGGACCCCATTTCATAGGCAAATAAACCAAAAGCTCAGAGATTAAAATGTCAGGGACTTTTGCTCAAAGACTGCAAGGTAAGCGAAGGAATCAAAAGTTCCTAATTCGGATAAGACAGTGCTTAACACAAGCTGTGGTCATAAGCGATAACGCGTTGTGTAAATGTAAAGCATGATTGTTAAGAGTGCTGTGTGCTCTTCAAATCCCTTGTCAAACGACAGGTGCCTAGTAGGTCTGCTTTCTGAAGTGTAGCCAAGCCCGACAGATCCTGGGTTATAAATGTCCATTGAGTGTACGTGAACCGTGAGCTCCCCCATTTCTGAGATAACCTGTCATCGCTATGGTGATCTTTGGTTTCCACATTTGCTTTAACTCATCTGCCAACACTGCAGTCTTTGTTTGTTGGGCTTTTTTTTTTTTTTTTTTTTTTTTTTTCTGTTTTCACTGCAGGTTTTCTTAGGAATCTTGTTTAAATCCTCTGTGGTTTCCTTCACTGGGGTCTAAAGCTTTCCTTACTCAGAGTTCCAATAATAATAATAATAATAAAACAATAACAATAGATGTACTTTTATGCATAGGTGCCCTACATTTTTAGTGTTAGACTAACAGACTGTTTAAAATCATCTTGGCCTGGATCTAATAACCCTATTACAATAATTCTTGTTTAATAGTCTTCCTAGTGATTTTTTTTTTTTTTAAGTAGTCCTTACTTTTAGTTGGGGCTAATTCCTATTTAGCAAGAGTCAGTACATAGCCTTAGAATGATCACCTTTGACTTTTATGCAGGAATGCTGGTGTTAAGCAAAAAGTAAATAAATATATGTATACCTTTTTTAAGAGAAGGTAGCCTAATTGCCTAGATTTGAAACTTCTCATACTGTCATGCCTCTCCTTCTTTTCAGAGTCAGTTTTCCCACCAAATAAAACTGACCCTCACCCCCAGCAAAGCTGTGTCACTTCCAATGCCTGTACCTAAAGTAACTTTCAGGAGGTACAGAGACAGCCCTTCACTCAACAGAATTAAAGTTGGTTTCTACACTTGGTTTCTTTAACTGGTGGCAAAGGGGTTCTTTCCAGACCCACCTCGTGCCTCCTGGGGTTCCTGGTGGAATGTGAAATTAACATGCCATTTGTCCA